TTCCACAGATTCCCAGGGCCGCCTCTAGCTCTAAGTTCCTTCTTCCACTGAACCAGTGCAGTGCTTAGATAATCTCAGTCTTGGAATTCAATTTTCTCACATTTTCACAGACAACTACTCACATGCAGCACCAGGGAGAAGTCTGAAAAGCCAAATAGGCAAAAGAAAATAGAAATAAAAATAAAAATAAAAACAAAACAAAAAAACAAAAACAACAAGAAAACCAAACCAACCAACCAACCAACCAACAAAAAAACAGCCCCCACACATAACATGAAATACCCTGATTCCTCAGTTGCCCTGCCATGGGACTTAGCTCCTCTTTTTCTCTCCATCCGGTTCTCATTTTACAACTCTCCCCCACCCTCTCAGGAGCAAATAAAGAATTCTGCTTTCTCATGCAGAACAATTAGGCAGTTTCGACCGTCCGCCTCCAAACTCTGCTTCGGCCCTCTCTGTGTATGTACATGCAAAGGCCAATCAAAAAGTTAGTCATTGATCAACATCATCTCGTCCTCACTGTCCAAGGCAGAATTCTAAAGATGCCCTCCCCAAGATTCCTGTCCCCTGGCTATTGAAACAAAAGCTGATGGAGTCACTGCTGGGAAGATTTTGCAGATAGTTGAAGCCCCCCAGTCAATTGACCTTAAAATGCAGAGATTATCGAGGTGGGCTTGACTCAGTCAGGCGATCCTTTCAATAGCAGAGTGTATTCTCTAGCTAGTAGCAGGAGAAGTCAGAGAGATGCAAAGCATAGGGAGATGTGACCTACTGTCACTGGCTTGAGGATGGGGTCACCCACATGAGAAGGTGAAATTCAGTGGCCTTGAGTTGACAGAGGCCTCCGCCTAACAGCAGGCAAGAAATCAGAGAAATCTGTCTTTCAAGCACAGAAAACTAAATTTGGCCAAAACCTGATTGAGGTTGAAAAGAGATTCTTCCCTCGAGGCTCCAGAGAAAAGCCCAGGCTGGCCAACACCTTGATTCCAGCCTGGCAAAACCCTACGCAGAGAACCCATCTGAGCCCTGCCAGATTTATGACCCACAGAACTGTGAGTAATACATTTGCGTTGCCTGAAGTTGGTACATTTGTGGTAATTTGTGACACAGCAATAGTAAACTAACACAATCACCATCACTTCCATCTCTGGTTATACCCCATGCCCTTTGCTAAGCACTCCGCGTAATTATCTCACCTAATCCTGGCACCAACTACTGCTTGGATGATACAAATATCCTTATTTTATAGGCCACAGAGGCCTTTAGAGGGCAGGAATCTAGATGTGCATGTGTAAATGGTAGAACCATAATTCAAATCCAAGCAGCCAAGGCTCTTAACCAATATGGGTTTCTGCCTCCTTAAATTACCACACGTCAGGTTCCACTCTGTGACTTCTACAGACAGCTCTGGCTTCCTCCTTCCCGGATCCTCACTGGGAAGTATTCTTTCTTTCTTCCAATTACCTAATTGGATCATGACCTTTTTCAGATGAACGGCTGCCTGGTGCCTCGACCCCTAAGACCTTTGCGCACAGTGAACTAGAACAGAAGGAAATATGTCTTGGTGAGGGCAACATCATTTGGGGGGCAACACACGTTTCCATGCGTTACCCAAAGGCCAGCTTGCACGTCTGCTGTTTTGCAGGGGGGACCTCATCACAAGGATTTGGACATCCTGGCACATGTCGGTGATATCCAGATCATGGGCTCACATGAAACTTGAGCTCCACTAGAAACTTGACCTTCAAAGTGCAGACCAGACCTCAGGATGAGTTGCTCATGTGGTAACCCAGAATACCAGCTCCTGAGAACGTGTGCGTGTGCACGTGTTGTTGCTCAGTAGGGAGACACTATTGGTTCCTAAACGTTTTCTGTGTCCTGAGTTTCACAGGTTGTACATGACCTTCGTATTGGGCTGTGACGTCTCGATCCGAAGCTAACCAGAAAGGCCAAGTCCAAAGGGAATTTAAAAGATACACTACATCGTCCCATGAGAATAATAAGTCCCTCAGCTTTTAGAGAGTGAGGGACCCAGAAAGGAAGATACTCTATGGAAAATATGTAAGATTTTAAGATTACAGCAGAATTTTTCTTTTTTTTTTTTTTAATTTTTTTTCAATATTTATTTTTGAAAGACAGAGAGAGACAGAGTGTGAGTAGCGAAGGGGCAGAGAGAGAGAGGGAGACACAGAATTCAAAGCAGGCTCCAGGCTCTGAGCTGTCAGCACAGAGCCTGACACGGGGCTCGAACCCACAAACTGTGAGATCATGACCTGGGCTGAAGTTGGACACCCAACCGACTGAGCCACCCAGGCGCCCCTATAGCAGAATTTTTCAAAGAGAAATGTATCATAGTAAAAAAAAAAAAAAAATACCCTTGTAACGTTAGATGTTCCATACTCTTCCTTGATTCAAACAAACTAAAAAAAATCATGCTGTTTCTTGGAAGCAAGATGGCCCTCTGAGCAGAGATAGGGCAAATGCAAATAAGTTTTGGTTCCAAATAAGTTTGGAACTCTAGGCTACCCCTGCCATTGTCATGCTTCCTATCAGGGTAAATATGGAGTCAATGTCTTTCAGAAGTAGAGCTAATGAAGGAGAGAAAAGTATTTCCCTTTGGACTTTGGTGGAACTCCAAAAGAATCCTATTACTTCAGGAACATTCCAGACTTAGGGTCACTGCTCCAAATTTAGATCTGATCCTCAAGAATCTTATAAACCCTGTAGCTGAAGGAAAAATATGTTGGAGGGAGACAGAGGGGATTCATTTCAGTTACACATGGTAAAAAATATCCACCAATGGTGGGGACAACAGTCGATGCTGTCAAAGGTGTATGTATGAGTGAGAGGTTCTGGGTAGGGTGCTGGGTCAAGGCCAAGCAGTTAGAAAAAAAGTATCAGGGGGGAAGTTTGTGGCAGAAATTGAGGCAAAAATGATCTCACGGAAGACTGTGCATCTCTCTAGCCTGGATTTCCAGACCCAGATTACACTTGATTCTTTTATAACCCCCAGCTCGAAGAAGTATTGTAAATAGCATGAATAACCGGTCATTCTTAACTCCTCTTAGAACCTAGCATAAGTTACATGGAGGGAAATACAACATAATGTTAAGAGCAAAGCTGTGATACCAGTTACAGCTGGATTCAAAGGTTGACTTCACCAAATTATGTAAATCAGCACAAGTTATTTAACGTTTATGCATCTGCCCTTCTGTTTTCTATATCATGGAAATAAGAGTGACGTAAGACCGAAATGAGATCACCTATATAATATGATGCTTGGCACGGTGGTTGCACTTAGAGGAAACTGAATTAAGTGTTGGCTATTATCAAGTGAAAACAGAATAGTCCCCGACAGTAAGAAAATATGTAGAGAATTAGCAAGTCTCGCATGGGTCACGTACATGTAACACATTAAAAGTGAATAAGAAATATGAGACGATCACTAGGTTGTGATAAGATGAAGGAAATATGACAGAATGGATCAGAGGAAGGAGAAAAAGAGGAAAAAAAAGAGTCACCCTCAAGATCTTAAGAAAGATCTCCCACCGATGTCCAGGTTACCCTTTCCCAATTTCCAAGAAATAAGAAACAGAACTGACGGTTGGACATTCCTGTTTGCCGTTGTGATATCCCTGTTTTCAGCTGCGATCACTGCTGGTCACGAGCAGATGTGACTACTCCAAAATAGTACTCAGTGCTGTGCCACAGCAGCTCAGTTCCCTTTTGCGATGAGGTTGCTTCTCTTAACCTTCTATTTTTTTCCCAGGACTAGGAGCCAGGTAGGAGTCGTGAGGCGAAAGCCTACATCAGAGTATCCTCGTCTATTTCAGAGACTTGTATTAACAGGCATCTAGAACAACCTCCCCTCCAGGCAACGCTGGTTAGAGAGAAACGGTGGATTAAAACCAAAACAGGCCACGAGAACTAGAAAGATGCGAATCAAAAGACTAGGAATATAGAAAAATGAAAACTTTTGGTAGACACAGATGTGAGAAGGCAACGCAGAGTAAGTCTTCAGAAGGCGAGGCTGACGTCGACAACCGCGAGTTTAACAGGAACCAAAGGCGCAAAGCAAGATCATCCAGAGATAGAGATACCCAGCAAATAAAAATCCAGGCTGCCCAGTTAAATTGGAAGAACTGAAAATGATTTCTTACTATAAATGTCCTGTGCAAAGTTGGGGACATACTTATACTAAAAAGATACGTGTGGTTTATCCGGAATTTAAATGTAACTGGGTGTCCTTTGTTTTACCGGCAACCCCATAGGAAGAACTCGTGAATTCGTGAGCCATTGGGTCGTGTGTGGTGAAACCAGATCCGTATCGGTGAAATGTTAGAAAAGGCAATGGATTGGGAGGGAGTTGCAGGGACCGTGGGGAACGTGAGAAGGGTGATGCTTGGAGATGCCAAGAGCAGGACAGAGCAGATATCGGCACCAAGGAGGTGAATTAAGTAAAAATCAAGAGTCGGGAAAGGAACAGAGAGAACACGGGCTGCTTATCATAAAGAGAAGCAGTGTAGTTCATCCTAAGCCGGCCACCGGGGCCCAGTGTCAGGGATTTCCTTTTATACTTCTGGGGCTTTCTACCCCGATTCTTCGTAGATGTGTCCTTTCCTCTCCTCCTGAAAGGAAACTGAGACCTTAATATTTAGATGGAGAGTTATCCCGACCAGCAAGCTTTTCTACTTCCCACTGGGTGAGGCAGTCTTTCTTGGTATGGATAGGCCAGGCCACCACCTACACCATTTATCTTTCATTCAATAAAGATCATCGGATGCCTACTTTGTGTCAGACACTATTCTGGATGCCAGATATGTCAGCCAAGTGTATTTTCATCTCAGCCCCAACTTCCTTGCATTCACTAGGGGTGCTTCTTAAGAATGCAGATTCCTCGGCCCCTCACCACCTCTCATCGCCTCCGCAAGCGTCTGGGAATCTGCACTTCCATGCTTTTAGAATCAGTGACCGACCAACCGGTTGATACAAATACATACGCCGGTGCCTTCGACTGGTGAGAAATCTGTAGGAGAAACACAACATGCAGACACTGATCCCTGGAAAATGAGATGTAGTCAGGCCGGCACCGGGTGACGTTGAAAGCCTTGTCCAAGCCACGTGGCAGGTAAATGGCTGAGAAGAGACTCGCGTCAAAGTGTTCCATTTCACAGTACAGCTAGCTCTCGCTCCACTGTGATATGCTCCCTTCTAGACCCCATGACTCAAAATAGGGCTTCTGTTAGGCTCCCAAGCCACCGTGATGATGCAGCGTTATAACAATGGGGTTTCATCGTGACCAGAGGAAGGGGCAGATATCGCAACTCATGGCCTAGTAAAGTCAGTAAAAACTTCCTCTCTGTTCTCAGTTGCCTGTAAGTTTGCTTCGGTGCTTCGATGTACCTCCACTTTTAAAGCTCATGAGACTTAGCTGCCAACAGAAGGTGCTCTTGATTCACAGAGAGAAGCTTTGCTCTTCAGTGCGTGTCACAGAGCCACTCTGACGTACCTCCGTGCAGTTCGTGGACCCAAAGCCACGCTCCCTTCGGTAACACCTGCCTCCTGAGACCCTTGAAGCTCTCAACTGGCAAGAGTGGCTTGTTCCCACAGTGCCTCTGTAAAATAAGAAGGGGGAGGGGAGATGGTTTTATTCCCATTTTCCAGGTAGAAAAACCAAAGGGAGATTTCTTTTCAAGGCTCTAAAGGTAAAATTAGACAAAAATTAAGCACAAACACCTACCTCATCGCTTACTACAACAGCTCATATGGTAGCCTTTCCTCATTTCCATCTATCTACTCCCTGTAGGGAATATATCGTACCTCCTTGTCTTTCCCACGACAGCTCCCAGATCAAGATGGCAGGAGAGGTCTACAGCTACGAGATTCAGAAGGGAGTTAGAATGAAGAATGTTCTCATATCCATTCAATGGTCTGTGACTTCCGGGGACCCATTAGAAACACCACCTACGATTCATCTCATCTCTGAGATAGCCTTCCAGAAGAAATATCTCTGGTATCTCCTGTCCCATCTTGTGGAAGAAGCAACGGAAACTCAGACAGGCAGGTGACAAGTTTGCGATCCAGCAGGTGTAAGTGGCAGGGCCCAGAAGACCAGCTCACCTCCTCGATCCCAGGCCGGGAGCGCCTACCCCTGAAATGAACTTTATAAGCGGCTCTGCTGAGAGTTTCTGCATTTGAAGGTCTTTCTCTGTTTCACGTCTCTGTTACACGCGGTGACGCTTCTTTTATAAAAGAACATTTGCCCCAACCTTGCCAAAAGCTTTGCAGAATGCATTTTGGGGGCGGTTGGGGGGGGGGGGGTTGAAATTCAAAATTTACCAAGTCTGACAGCTATGAATAAGTAAAAGTACAAGGGGTCATAGCTGAATGGGAAAATGAAAAATAGCATACCAGATAAGCTTAAATTATTATCAACTTGGATTATTATAGCTTCCTCAGGTTTTTTTATAAGTAGAGTCTTTTTTAACTCATAAGAAATATTCATATATATATATATATATATATATATATATATAGACACTCCCTCATAATAAACACAGAAGCACACTGTTCCCAGAATCTTTGGCTTGGCTAAAATATGATGATATTCTTAGTTCTTGGTATGGGGGAAAAAGCCTCTGAACACTCCAGGCTTTTTATAGCTCTGGCTCAGGGACAGCATTTGCTACAGTTAGCAGCCCTGGAAAGAAAGGAGCCAAATAATGCTAATGGGGCAAACAGAATGTAATTGCTTATGTGTGCTGGTTATATCCTGAAACAAATTGTTTCTTAATGCTGAGGTCAGACAGGGTTTAATTAGGAGAAATACAATTGGTGTAAAATTTTGCAGCAGGCTGCTTGTTTGGTGTCATGCCAAGTCAACATCTAGTCTCTCCAAATGGAAATTTTCATTAGAGGCCATTGGCAGCCCTAGTTAGGCTGAGTTTCAACTTTTCCAAGTCTCCTGGTAACGTAAACCTGAAACTCAGCATATCTCTTGCCTAATAAAGGGCTGTCCCCCTTGCATTTACAAACACTCGAACATGTGCACACTTTCTCCGTCTCTCACGTACCCAGCTGCCCCCGTCCCCCCGCCCCTCCCCCCGCTGGCAAAATGCACACTTCCCATGGGAGCTAGATGAACTGAAGCAATCCTCCTCTTCTCTTGTGCCTGTTCCCTCTTTCCATATCCCCACATTAATAATAATCTTCGGTCAGCATATTATTGCCTGAAAAATATTTTCACATGCATCAACTCACCTAACCTGACCAATAAATCTCAGAGGTGAGCGGTTTTTATATTTGTAGGTGGGAAATGCATTGAAGGTCACATCGATGGTTGGCTAAGAATAGATCTCAAACCTCTCGATTTGGGTCCTGGGCTTAACGAAGCCGCAGAATTCTGCACGCGCGCACGCACGCACACACACACACACGCGCGCACATGGAACAGAAGATACGCTGAAAAATCTGCATTTGTTCACATCCATGAAACGTGCACAAAGCCACCTGTTTGTTACTTCCTCTTTGCTTCATTTGGTACAATATCTGTGAGGAAGTAAGAGTGAAAGGTGCTATTATGCAAAGCTGCACAAGTTTCCCCAAGATTTTGCAAACACCCTTTATTGGATGTGACCCTTTTGCTGCCTCTCCTTCCATACCTGTCTTTTCACACTCTCAAAGACCTCCGTTGATGCCTGCGGCAGTAATTCTGCTATTTACATTAATTTTAAGAGCCTACATCTTCACAGCTTCAAGGATAAGGGTTTATCGGTGTTTCTAATACAAATCCCGTGTCTCAAAAGTGTTTAATTTATTTGGAAAATTCTGCGTCTAGGCTGCTATTGTTTCTCTCCCTTCCTCTTCTTATCCCTTCCAGCTGAAGGCAGTTTTCATTACAGTGACAAAGACCCCACTATGTTAAAGAAAATTGCACAGAGAGACCCCAAAAATCCATCTACCCAACAAAAACCTAAGTCATTTTCCCCTGCAGTATCATATCAGCAGTAACCGTCATGGGTTTAAAGACATATGGGACCAAGTCTTCATTTTTATATGTGGTTCCTATTTGCTGAGACACGAGCTCCTTGAGAGTTGAGCGACATTTCATTTAGGTGCTGGGCCTCTGGGCCCGCGCTAATGTGCCCGGTTAGGGTCAAGGTAAAGCTCTGCACAGGGCAAGCAATTACTAAGCAATCCTTACTCTTCAGCCCCGCTGGGGCCAGAAAGCCATGGGCGATCCCATTGGAAGGGGGAGTTTTCTCAGCTGCCTAGGACTCAGTCCTAGAGCAGGTTAGAGACTGGAAGTTATTGAAACTCTTCCATCATGTGAGGTCCAGCCCAGGCTTCTCGTGAATCTTCCTCTCCACTGGCCAGCTACACTTGGCCATAGACCACGGACGCTCCTCTTTTACACTGCGCTTACACCACCGATCAAAAGTCCCCTTAAATTTGTTTTCTACATGATTTAAGTTTCTCGCCTTTCTACATTTTCCTATATTAGTATTAGTCCCGTCAGTTCTCCCATAATGCTCGTTTCCAAAGTTGTACATTTGTTTCGGGGCAACTGATGAACTAGGAGAACCGACCATGAATTACACACTTGCTGCTGCTGAGTTTTTGTCCTTGAGAAACAGAAAACTGCCTCCAGCTGAGCGGAGCTGTATGGGAATTCGTATACACACACCTCAAACGTCTACCAGTCACCCTGTTTCGCCACGTGTGCCATCGCACAAAGCTACGTTTTGGTCGTTCTTCTAGATCTGTGAACTTTTCTATTCACACCACACACACACACACACACACACGCGCGCGCGCACGTACGGACGACCAAACAAATACGAAAGCACACACTCATTCAACATCCCAAGCCTGTCTATGTGTCCTGGTTCAAAACGCCAAGCAGTCCATGTAAAAAGGAAAGCACTATCTGTATACAAAGACTGGAAGTGGAAACTGCTAAACCCTACAGAAGAGCTCCTGTTGGTGTTCGCAGTGGCTAGTTGAGCGATTTCAAACAGCGCTACGGTTTTCAAATCCAAAACAGAGTTTCCAGGTAATACAGAAGTTAATTAAAGAAAAAGGCTACATACTGCCTCAAAGGTTCAGTTCTGATGAAACAGGGACCTGTTAGGCATGCACGCCTTAGAAGAACCTTTATCTTAAAGGCAGAGAAAAATATGCCCCGGGATGTAAGTTTGCAGAAGGTCACTGCGCTGTGAAGTTCGGGTGCCGGCACTGAACCGCACCCCCCCCCCCCCCAATCCAGCCTCGCCGCTTTCCTCGTGATTTCAGGTAAGCCTCTTTTCACTGCCTCGCAATGCATCACATGCAAAGCCCACTTATCGAGCTCCTAGCTTTTTTTCAGGGCAAAATGCCATATTTGCCACCAGCATTTGGCACTTGTGAACTGTGCTCTTTCGCTCTCGATGCATCACCAAGAAAGGTTTTGAATGCGATGCCCCAATCTGACTTTTTCCACAATCCCTACAGGTGTTGTTGTGCAGTTTTGTACGGCCTCGTGATCTTCCAGAGACACGCATGTCCATTATAGTAAAAGTGACATACTTGCTTATTGTCTGGACACGGCAATCGTCTTCAAATATTTGAAATAGCCTGGGTTAGGGATTTCAGATCGAACGTGCCCAGAACGAAATTATTAGTTCTGATTATTTCCGCATATTCTGCGACCTCCACAGCTCTTTTCACCTAAGTGAAGAGATCGCTCCATCCTTCCACCGGCCCAGCCTAAAAGCTCAAGAGTTATTTCTGAATCCTCTCGTCATCTCACCCCACATCCAATTGGCTTTATCTTCAGACACTATCCCTTGTCAACATCCCCACTGCTTCTAAGTCACTGGGTTATTCTAATAGCCCCTGTATTTGTCTCCTTCCGCCACTTTTTCCTGACCTGAATCCCTCTTCCGATCTATTCTTAACCCCAGAGCCAAAGTTCCTTACGTACAAGTCAGGTCGTGTCACTACTCTGTGACTCTCCAGTGGCTTCGTATCTCAGTTGAGTAGGAGCCAGAGATGCACGAAATGGGCACCGCCCACCTGCCTCACCCGGGGCTCCCTCTGCAGAATCTTCTCCTACGGCTCTTTCTCTGGCTCATGCTGCCCCAACCCAACTGCTGGGACATT